GTCAATTTTCCTGGTAGATATAACTTCGCTGGATTCGATTTCGGATGATGATGATGATGTCAATTGCAGAAAAAGTGTTCCAAAGCTTCACTATCCTCGCTACATTCATTAGATTCCCCTGGTCCAAGTTGGTGTAGTTGTGCCCGTGGTCCGACATTTGCCCGGTGTTACCCGCAAGAATACATACCATCAAACGTACCCGGGACTTGCATCCACTGAGTAAATTTATAATTCCTTATGACATCCTCTTGTTCATGATTTCAAATCCTCTCTCTTTGCCTCGAATGGTTTTTTATTTGTCAGGTATTTGCTACCTATAATCCTCGAGTAGCCTGATGCCCACATGATCCAGACCATTCCACTGTAACCTTATCGGTTGATAACACCCCTATTGCCATCTACCTGTGTCATTTTTAATCCAACGTTTACACATTTCCTATGGACGATCTATCTGCCACCTCAGAGCCATTCGTGTAGCAGCAGATTTCCTTGGGGACCAGCTCTACTGTGATACTTGACCATGATCCTCTATCTGGGATAAATATTTTGTAATTTGATGTTTGTGTAGGAACCTTACAGTATACACTAATGACATGACCTAAAACAACATTTACACATTCTCTATGGAAGATCTATTTGTCATCGTAGGACCGTCCGTTTGGCTACAGAGATTATTTCCATTGTTCCTCTATTTGGGATAAATGTTGTGCAATTTCCGACAATTTCTCTGATATTCTTTTTCTGACCTTCCAGCATACAATGATAACGTCATCTATATACGCTTTTGTAAATTTTCCCAGAGTTGAGAGTCCCTCGACTGTTTTCAATGTGAAAATATCCGTATTGCTCATGCCTTCACTTATGTACGCTGAACTCTCTGTTGTGTTATCATTTTGCACTTCCTGTCCAAAACACCTTATAAATTCAGAGGATTACAGTTGAACTAAGGTCCCGTCTCGGACCTATGGTTCTTATACATAGTGCCCAATATCACCGCACTTCGTTTTTCCTCCTTATAGTATTTTCATTTTAGTTTCTAGCATAAGATTACGCCTTTACCCTGTACATTAACTAATTAGTATTCGAATTAAAACAGTTTAAACAATTTTTGCTCAAGTTTACAAACTACAAACAAATAATTCCCACGATCGTTCTTTATTGCCATACAAACCTATAATAAACAATTGCGACAATTGACAACACTCATATATAGGCCCATTAAACTAGTTTTTAACTATAACTTTTAAACACTATTTATTACACAAATCCAACACACTTTCAAATCTACGATCGTTACATTTCTACACATGGATGGCATCTCTAGTTTTGCAGATGATGATAATGATGATCATTAAACATGATTGTGACCGAACACTTGTTAAAATTATGTTGCTGTTAAACTTGAATTTTTTTTGTTTTTGTTATTATGATTGAATATTTGTTAACGGTCGTGTGTAAAGGTAAAAAAAAAAAGTTTAAAGCTTAGGCAACATAAACACATGAGCGCTGCTGCAGCAGCAGCGTTAGTATTGCCAAAAATAAAACTTTACATTATTGACTGCCACCAATAGAGTGTGTTGAAGACCTATATTTAGGTTAAGACAGCTTAGACACATACTTCAATACATACTTTTACACATGTATCGAATCACAGTTTTTATTTTTATTGATACAATTATTACAAATATTACTTTTTATGATTAATGTTTCCTAAAACGATGTCTAATTTAATAATTAGTATGTAATGAAATTTGAGTATATTTTTATGAAAATTGTTAGGCCTTTTAGTTATTGTTGATTTGGAAGGGGTTTGTTGTTTGTAAAATTTGAGTGTAATTGTGGTTAATAAAAATATTTTATTATTATTTCCCCAGGGGGTTTACACGCGCAAGTGTACATTGGTATATCATATTGATAGGAATAGTTGATTCACTATAATGTTATGCCTCATCGCTTGTGTTCGTATCATATGTATACAATTTCCCTATATGGGCATTCTGCCGAAACATAAACCTTTGGGGCCAACAAAGGGTACTAGGAAGGATTTTCAGGCACCGATATATATCGCCATTCATTAATAGCTCATTTTTATAAATGCTATATTGAAATGAGAGCAATTGGATGGCCTATTATCGGCATTAGATACATCGATATCTTAATCGAATGCAAATATTTTAGTGGGGAAACGATCAATCGTTTAATGAGTAGTGTGACATCGTGTAATATTCTACTGAAACCCAGAGACCATTCATTGATTGATCTGCGCGCATTAAATATGACCTCATAATTTCACCATTACATCAGATTTTTAAGCTATTTGAGATCTTATAATAGTCGGAAGGCATATTTGTTTGTAAGATCAGTTATATTATCTGACAGTCCACTCCGTCGACTGTCTAGAAGCGCAGAGGAAGGCCACAAAGAGACATATTAAACAATTATGGCGATTTCAATACAACTGATTTGTTTTAACCCACGCCAAAAGATCATTTGGAAAGAAACAATCAAATCAATATCAATTTTGGTACAACTGAGATCGTAACAGAACAGTTTTTGGACAATTTGTAGACAAGATCCTAACGGATCTTAATTGGACGCTTTTCACTTCCACCAATTTTTCTCTCAAAGATGTTGCTAACCAAATTGGTGACAGTGAAAAAAGGGATATCGAATAGTACAAACATTGCATTGTACTGTAAAATTCCCCCTCGATGACCTTCTCAATCTTGAAGTTGTTGAAATCTGAGAGAAAAGTGGTGCTAAAAGTACCTATAGACTGCCGGAACTAAAGATTGGTGGTGTCAAATATAACCTCCGCTTTTCCTTAGAATGATTTGATCTATGGTGCCTCGGGAACCGGTATACTGCAGGTCATTAGTTAGGTCCCTGTTAATTGGATAGGTCCCTTCGGAGTGCACGTATTAGCTGTAGTTTAAACCCAAAATCGGGGGAAGAGAAAGTTGGTTGGTTGGCAACAAATACTAAGCATTGGGAATTGGCTAGTGTCAATTGAATAAGATGTGGAATGGTTGAATGATTATACTGGCATAGTCATTGGATAGGTCCCTTCGGGGTATCGGATGTTTGTCTCAATAAATGTATCAATTAATGACAATAGTTCTGGGTTGAATGGGGATGAATATACGGTATCTTATACAAGTGGCTAGTGTCAATTGAATGAGATGCGGAATGGATAAATGATTATACTGGCCTGGTCATTGGATAGGTCCCTTCGGGGTATCGGATGTTTGTCTACATGAATGTGTTAATTAATGAGAATAGTTCTGGGTTGAATGGGGATGAATATACGGTATCTTATACAAGTGACACCATTGAAATTCTCTTCCTTGTTAGGGTATGTTAGAGGCATTATTTAATGGTTTCGTAATCTTTAGGTGATGTTTCCGAATCAACAGAGACTATCCCATTTGCATGGTTGTAAACGAAAGAGATGTTTTACATCTCGGAAATTACGCAACGGGACAGCAAGGGTCAGAGATTACAGGTATTCAAACAAAGTGCTTGTAAAGGCGGAACCAAGTTTCCACCTGCGTGTTCTTTGCAAGGCACAAACGGATGAAGCTGAATCGTCTCTAGCTTACCTTGAGGTTGAAAAAGTACCACTGTGATATATGACGTTTGGGAGGTGTGTTTAAGTAACGCCTCCCAAACTCTACTTCTGTACTGTAAAATAACGAAGGACTCATAGAATGTCATCAACTCCCTGCTACGATTCAAAACAGCACCGATTCAAAACTGAATCTGAGTTATTTAGTTCATTTGAAGTTGAGATTTTTGGTCTTTATTTTGATGTTACAAACATCCCGCTCAAACCAACAATATCAATATGTAGGGGAAAAACACATTTATCAAAAATTCTTCTCTAAAGAATAAATTTATTTTTAACGGAATAATTTGTAATTATTCATATTAAAAATAGTAAACAAAATCAATTTAACACACACTGAACTCTAGACTGAACGTCTAAAAAGATCCATTATGGTAACTAGAAAAAAACAATGAATGAATAAAAAATAATCAAGTGATTACAAATCAAATGATTAATTAATTATAAAATATTTTTTCGATTGATGACCACAAAATTTGACCCGAAAAATTACTGAGACAAGTTTTAAATAAATAGTCTATAAAATGATCATATACATATTTGAGAGAGCAGAAAAATACCAAGAGCGAGAAAGGGAGAAAAAAAAAACAATCAAAAGTAAATTAAAATCAAAAAGAAGAAAATTTTAACCAGATAACGATCAAATTAATGTAAATAGAAAGACACAAATACACGCAATAACAAATGTATTGACCAAGGTTAGTGTTACCAGTGGAAGAGTTACAACAAATTTCATTTAGCTGCTTTTGCCACTTTTTTCACTACGTCTTAGGTTGATATGATAATGATGCTCGATGAATTTGTTAATAGTTTTTTTTTTTTGTTTTTATTATTTTGAAAATTTATTTTTTTTCTTCAAGAGAGCAATATTATGATGTTGAACGTGTGTGAATATAATTTGTTTGAAATTTATGCAAAAATGTTTAAAAATATTTATAGTTAGACTTTTTTTTCATCTTTTTTATTTTTTGTAAAATTTTATTTCGTTAATGATTATATCTACTATACACCAACAATCAACAAGTCAATTGATGAGTTTTATTTCGGTTTGAAAAGAAATTTTGAAATCCATACAAAAAAAAGTTTTTGTTGAGCTCCTCTTTCTGCCAGAGTTCAGTGGCTATTGCTGCTGCTTTTGCTACATATTGCCATTGCTGTTTGTTAGGGCGATGAAGAAATAATCATGTTTTAAATATATATTTTTTGTTTTTGTTAATATTGTGCTCTGCTGTTGCTGCGGATGTAAATGCTGATGTCCAAACCAGCTAAATGACATTGATTTTGGGTTAATCGTTTGATTGGGAGAACGAACGACCGACCGACCGACCAGCCATATATGGGATAAGTATAAAACCAAGGGAAATGCTAGAAAGTCATATCATTCATACATTTACTGTTTACAGGTTCAGTTCGACCTATTATCTGGATTATCCAACAAACTTTAAACACAGACTGAACTAAAATGAAGGTGTGTACTTTGGTTTTATATTATTGGGTGAATAGTTTTTTTTTAAATTATAATCAATTTTCTTTTGCGATTTTAGATTTTCGTTTGCTTATTGGCCACAGTATGTGTCTGCAATGCCACATTTTTGAGTCTTTTGGGAGGCAAAGGCGGTGGTAGTGGTGGATCAAGTGGCAGTCATGTAACCTATAATGTTGTAGCAACACCAACTCATGGCGGTGGTCATGGAGATCATGGTCATGGTCACGGTCACGGTGGTGGTCATGATGTTATCTACTCCAGCGGTCATGGCAGTAGCCATGGTGGATCTTATGCTCATGGTTACAGTTATTCTCACGATCATGGTCACGATCACGGTCATGATCACGGTCACGATCATGGCCATAGTCATGGTGGTTCTCCTCAAGTTATTAAAGTCATTTTGGATCAAGGTCATGGTGGTGGTCACTCCTATGGCGGTGGTTATGCCAGTGGTCATAGTTATGGCTCTTCTGATCATAGTTATGCTGGTGGTGATCACAGTTATCACGGCGGTTCCTCTGCTGGTGGTGATGCCCAAATTTTCAAAGTTATCACCGAAAGTTCTGGTCCTGCTCATGTAGATCATGGCTACTCTGCTGGCGGCTCTCATGGTTGGTCCTCTGGTTCTTCTTATGCCTCTGGTTATGCTCATGGCGGTTCTCATGGCGTGAACTCTCAATTGAATGCTATTTTGCCACAAATTTTACAAGTTATCTTACAAGATGATGCTCATCATGGTTCCGGTGGTGGTTTTATCTCTGGTGGCGGTGATGATGTCAACTCTCAATTGATTGCCCACTTTGGACAAAAGGGTAAGGCTGTTATTACCCGCAGCAATGGCAAAACCAATAGCCTCTACTCTGGTGGTCATGTTATCCAAAAGGGAGTTCTTAAAGTAATGCGTGTTGAAGAAACTCCTGCTGCTGCTCATCCAGCTCCAGCTCATGGCCATTCCTCACATGGTCCTCCAGTCCATGGACCACCACCACATGGTCCTCCTTCCCACGGCCATGGCTGGTAATTTTTACATCCCAAAGTCATTAGTGTGTCATTTCATATGTAGGCTCTTAGTTAAGGTCATTTTATTTAAATTTTTAGTAAATTATATATTTATAGTTTTGGTAATCATGTCTGTGAATCATTTTATTGATTCATTGATAATGTATTACTTCTTAATTTATAAGAAAAATAAATAAATTGTTTATTTATTGATTTGTATTTAAAAAAAAATAAAAGAAAAAATCAAATATTTTACTTTGCTATAGTTTTAATCAGAGTTTAAGTAACTAAATAGTTGAACAAACAGTTTTAAACTGTTTTTAAAAAGGTCTTTAAACGATCGTTCTGATCGAATATCAAACATAATTGTGATAAGATCTTGATTATCAAAATGGGTGAGTCAAAAATATGAATTAATTATGTAGTTAACATCGCATTTAGTAAACTCTGGTTGAGGTAGAATAAAAATTTACTTAAGTTAACAAATTCGAATAATATCCGACATTATATTTCTCATATTAGCAGAATTTTGATCACCAATCCAAAGTAACATGTTTTACAATAGCTTATCCAAATTTCCAAGAGGTTGTATCAAACGAATGCATCGGATGATATTAGAAGCGTAGAGGGGTCAAGTCACAGCTCTAATCCCTATAATTGATATCGTCAAGAATGTTGATAACACGATCGCCGAACTTAATAAGCCAAATATTAATTGTTTGATAGGGTGCTGAATCCAAGAATGATCTTTTATTTAAGCCAATAAAGTCTGTATTGCTCTTTTGGCTTTTGCATCTATACAGCATCCATATTTGTACGATAATGGGGATTATAGGTGATATTCAATGGCAAGCACAATTGCGATAAGTTAGGAAACGCTAGAATTGTGGAACAATTTGTGGAATAACACCAGACTCACTTTGGATTAAAGTTGAAAATAATTTCGTTATTCAAATGTAAAATTACTCCGCAAACAAAAAGAGGTTTAATTTAAAGAGTGACCCATTTTTGAAGATCGATTTAAAATCGATCATAGCTCCCATACAAATATGACAATTTTGTTTCATTATTAGTTTTTGTATCTAATGACGAGATAATAAATCGTATATTATTTTGTTTTTTGAAACTAGTTTTAAAATAAGTTATTTAAACTTATAAACAAATGTTAAGCAATATGTATTTTAAAATCTTTTTTTAAAAATATTCATTGACAGTTTATATTATATTCCCTGTTGAATATTACACCATGAATAACAAACAAGTATACGTTCACACTTTGAATAAAGATCGTTTTTTGGGGCTCATCCTAAAAGTATACTTTTTTTTACAAATATTATTGGTTTTAACCCTACAACGTGTTAAAAAATTATAATTTTAACAAATGCTATCACCATTCATTCATTTTATTTATTGAAGATCACTGATCAATCTTTTTTCTTATTTTCATTAGAAGCTAAATTGAAGATCTTGTAACAAATGTTTCTATTCCCTATGAATCGTATATTTACCAAAAACATTTTTTATTGAGTCCAGCGCGATCATCATAATATATGTTTGGATATTTTAAATGATTTGAAACAAAGTTCTGTAGAAAACTAAAGATAAAGTCCAGTCCGGTCGGAATTATAAGTGATCACAAAACAAGTTCCTTTTCTCAATTAGTTGATAGAGATTTTTTGATTTTATTTCAGAAAAAATCGAGATCATAGAAGATTATTCTAAATTTGATGCTTGAGAGGAGGCTTTGATTAATAAAATGTATTGATCGATCCATTTCTTAAACTAGTGTTTTTTTATAGGAAATAAGAAGTTTATTTTATACCCAGCATCAAAAAAAAAGGTCGGAGTGTATTGATCTTGTTATTCCAAATTATTAGTATATAGCCCACATATGTATATATTCTGGGTTCTTATTCGTTTTTAAGACTATCTAGTTAATTGTGTCCGTCCATAAGTCTGTCTGGCCGTCCAAACGGGAGGGTTTCAGGTCTAAACATTTCTACAATTATTCTCCATTGATAGTGTTTATTTGGTATTGAAAAAAATAAATATAGCTTCATGATTTCACCTAGGCCCACATATAGAGATCGGTCCATTATTAACTAATTAGATGAGAAAAATTTCCGTTAAAAAAAACATTTGAAGAACGAGTATCTAATGTCTCTAATAACTTAACCTGCACATAACACAAATTAACTGGCAATGAATATATCTAAAAACTTAATTGAAACACAACTAAAAATGCTGCACAAAAAATTATGTAAAATGCATGTTTTACATATTTGTAACAAGAGTTTATTACAAGGTTGACCAGAAGCATGCACACAAAAACAATCGACATCGATAAACATTTTTCAAATTTACTATAACGAACAACATAATAATAAACAACATTGCATTCAAATTTCAAATTGTAACGAATTGTAATAACTAGAAATTAAATTTAAAAAAAAAGATGATGCAAAACATCTTTAAATGTGGTTTTTGTTGGTATGTTAATATTACATAGTTTATTGTTTGTTGTTGATGCTGTAAAAAATCATTTGAATGTCATTTTAAAGTAAACCTGATCGACCACCTTTGATTATTGTTATTAATCATAAAAATGTGTAACTTTAACCACTTTTATGTTAAAAATATGCAAAATTTCGTACATAGGCGTTGTTAGAAAATCAATTCGTTTTTGATTTTTAAAGTTTGTTTGATGTCGGTGTCGTATTAAATTTCTTTTGTCCAAAAAATAAAATTGGGAATTATTAAAAAAAATCATAATGATAGGCATCCAGTTTTATTTAATGAAAAAAAAAAAACAGGTAATGTTGCATACGAATTTTTAAGCGTTATTAAGCGTGATGTGTTGAAGAATGGGACCAACTATTTTTGTATTTTATTTAAAGACATTTTTATGGTAAGGTTCACATCATATGGGTACCTGGCCACTCGGGAGTAGTCGGCAACGAAAGGGTGAATGTAATAGCTTTAAAGGGAAGGGAGCTCGATGTAGTTAACCTGACAAATGCAAAACCATTCGACGCAACAAAAGCTGAATTAAAAATATGGATGAGAGAATCCCATAAGGCCTCTTGGAATAATGAAACGGTGGGTAGAACCACAAAGATTCTATGGGGTGACCCTGATGAGAGCAAGACGAGAAATCTTCTCAAAATGAGCAAGTCTGAGGTTAGTATGATGGTACGTATTCTGAGTGGACACACAGGATTACGAGCACATCTATACAAAATTGGACGTGCGGATTCAGACGAATGTAGAGCATGTGGAGAGGACAGTGAAACTCTGGAGTACTTTCTTTGCCATTGCCAGGCATTGGTCGAAGTTAGATCCAAGTATCTTGGAAGTGATGTTATTCCGGAAATAACATTCTTAACCAACACCGATTGGAAGATTCTTAGGAATTACGTCCAGGAAACTGAGTTTCTGAACATGGAAAAATAATACATTCAGTGAACAATTTTTTTTTTTCTTGAATTGGAGCGCACAACAGGCCCGATAGTGGCCTAGGTGTATTTCTTCGGATTTGATGTAGTATACATCCTCCTATCAACCTAACCTAACCTAAAGACATTTTTAAAACAAAATCATTTTAAAATAAAGAATTGATAGAAATATTTTTTAAAATTTAAATTTATCACATAAATTTATTAAAAATTCTATAAATATATCCAAAATTTTGACCAAAAATGTACTATAAAAAATTATTGATAATTTTCTATAACATTTTCTTTAAAAAGAAAAAGTTTATCGAAAATTTTCTAAAGCAGTTAATTTATCGAAAAAAAAACCGAATTAATAGAAAATTTTCTTTAAAAAAGTGAATTTATGAAAAATATTTATAATAAAGAAGATTTATCGAAAATTTTCTATAAAATTTAAAATATTTGCAAAAGTTTTATATAAAAAGAGAAAATATATCGGATTTTTTTGCGATAAAAACATAAATTTTTATCGAAAAATGTAAATTTATCGAAAATTTTTTATAAAAATAAAATTTATTGAAAACTTTTATAAAAATAAAAATTTATCGAAATTTTTCTAAAAAAAAGAAAAATCGGAAAATTTATATAAAAAAGAGAAAATTTATCGGGAAGTTTTTATAAAAAAGAAAAATTTAATGAAAGAATTTAACAAAAAATTTCTATAAAATGAGAAAATTTGATCTATAAAGAGAGAAAATATGTCGACAATTTTCTATAAAATTAAAAAATTTATGGACAATTTTCTTTAAAAAAAGTAAGTTTTCTATCAAAAGATAAAATTTATCACAAATTGTTTTTAAAAAGAAAAGATTTATCGAAGAATGTGTATAAAATGATAAAATTTTTAGATAATTTTCTTAAAAATGGAAAATTTTAGGAAACAATTTAACAAACAATTTTATAAAAAGAGAAAATTTATGGAAAAAAGAGAAAATATGTCGACAATTTTCTATAAAATGAGAAAATTTATGGAAATTTTTATGTCTACAATTTTGTATAATATGCGAAAATTTATGGAAAATTTTATATAAAAAGAGATAATTAAAACTTTATCGAAAAAGAAAATTTAGTGAACATTTTCTATACTTTTTTATTGAAAATTTTCAAAATTTATAGAAAAAATTTTTTAAAAAAAGAAAATTTATCGAAGAATGTCTATAAAATGAGAAATTTTTATATAAAAAGAGAAAATTTATTGAACATTTATCTACAATTTGCAGTAAAAGAGAAAATTTTGTATAAAAAGAAAAATTATCAAAAAATTTATAGAAAATTTTCTTTCTTCTTTTCTTTTTTTACCAAACATTTTTTCTATAAAAGCTAAAAAATGTACATATAAAAAGAGACAATTTTCTATAAAGAAGAAATTTATCGATATAAAAAAAGAAAATTTATAGAAAATTTTTTATAAAAAGAAAATTTATAAAAAATTAAAAAAGAAATGAATTATCGTGGGAACGGGAAAAGATCTGTAACTTATCAAAATTTAATCTACAATATAGACGTGCGAATTCTCTAGAAAAAACTTAAGACTAATCTTAGAGGATCACTTTTGAGCAAGGGTTCAAAACGGTGATAAGGTAGCGGTATCGGTATTATAACTTATTTCGGTATTGATATTTTAGCGGAATCTATATTTTGGCTTAATTCGGTAATGGTATCTTAGCGTTATCGGTATTTTGACTTATTTCAATAATGGTATTTTAGCGGTAACGGTAGTGCGCTAAAAATATATTTTAGCGGTAATTTTGGTATGATTTAAATTATAAAGTAAGATTGTTATATTCGGCTATGCCGAATAAATTTTGCAAGTTGGTCCTATATATGGACTTTGATCATTGGATTAATATAAACGTTAGAGTGTGGGATTGGATCAATTAGTCTAGTATATTGTTTATACCAAATTCTAGATTATATTCCAGTTTATAGCATCGTTTATAGTCCAGTCGATAATGACCTTTTTTATTTACTCTGGTATATATTCTAATCTATAGTCTAGTATAGTCTGGTCTATAGGATAGTCTTATTCTAATCTAGAGTCAAGTATATATTCTAATTTATAATCCATAGTCTAATCTATAGTCTAGCCTACAGTCTAGTATATAGTTTAGTATAGGTAGTCTATTCTATAGTTTAGTTTATAGTCTAGTATATAATCTAGTCTATATCGTAATCTATAGTCTAGTTTATATTGTAGTTTCGGTATTTTAAAGTACAACTCTAATAGGCACTAGAACGACCCAAACTCAAACATGTCGGTCACATTAAATTCATAAAAGACAAATCTCTCAAGTAACAATATCTCATTAATACAAAAGAAAAAGATAAAAAAAAATAATGTTTGCTGAAGATGATTGCTGGGCATGATCAATGAATGCCTGCTGCTGAATGACGTTTAACTAGCTCTATTGCTGAGTACCAAGTTAAAGAAAATATTTGAGTACAAGTTATTTTAAAGAAATAAAATCTATTGTTTGATGCAAGTTTATTAGACTATTATCATAAATGTTGTGTTAGAAAAAGATCAAGATGATCGAGTATAAAAACTCTTGAAATGTAATCAAATGACAACATTCATCTGAGAGTCATATTCTGAGATAGACACATTAACAAATTTTGTAACATTCAAGCGGAGGAAATAACAAAATGAAGGTAAGAAATAAGGGAGAGGAAATACAAATAAAGGAATCAGAAAGCTAATGAACATTTTTCTTTTAATCTTTTACAGTTGTTCGTATGTATGTGTGCTTTGTTTGCTGTGGCTAATGCTGGCTTTTTGGGAATCTTAGGAGGTGGCGGCGGCGGTGGTGGTGGTGCCTCCATTAGCCATGGTCACGGACATGATCATGGACACGATCATGGTCATGGTGGCGGTTATATTAGCGAATCTTATCACAGTCATTATGAACACGATCATGGCCACAGCGCTCCCGACAAAATTATAAAAGTGAAATTTGTCAATGAAGAACATGGACATGGTGGTGATAGTTATGGCCCTGGTCCAGCTGCTGCTCCTCAAATTATTAAAGTCATCCACCAAGAATCATCTAGTCATGGTGGTTATGGTCATGGTCATGGTCCAGCTCCTGCTCCCCAAGTCGTTAAGGTTATTCACCAAGAAGCTGCTCCAGCAGTAGGTCACGGTGGTCATGGTCATGCTTCTGCTCCTCAGGTTATTAAAGTAATTCATCAAGAATCTGCTGCTTCTCACAGTCATGGTGGTCATGGTGCTCATGCTGCCGCTCCTCAAGTCATTAATGTTATTCACCAACAAGCTGAATCCTCTGCTGCTTCCTCAGCTGGTGGTTACAATTATGGCCCAGCCCCTGCACCTGCTGCTCCTGCTCCTCAAGTAATTAATGTTGTTCATCATCATGAACAACACCATGCTGGATCTTCTTCTGGTTCCTTGGGTTCTGCACCCGGACCTGTTTCGGCTCCTGCTAAAATCATTAAGGTCATCCATCAAAATGCTGTTTCTAGCGGTGCTGCTGTTCAACAACAAGCCAGTGCTCCAGCTAAAGTTATTCGTGTGATTCATGAGCAAGTGCAAACTCAATCTTCAGCTCAAGCCTCCGGTTCTTTCCCAAGTGCCTCTGTAGCTGCCCCCGAAAACACTTACTTGCCTCCCGTACAAGCTCCAGCTCCTGCTTTCAACCCTGTGCCACAATACACTGCTCCAGCACCCCAATACACAGCTCCCGCTGCTCCACAACACAGTGCCCCAGCTCCTCAATACAGTGCTCCTACTGCTCAATATCTTCCTCCCGCACCACAATATAGTGCACCAGCCCCCACCTTCACCGCTCCTGAGCCTGTTCCAAGCGTTCATGTTCCCGCTCAATCTTATGGACCTCCCCATTATTAAGCATTGAAAACATATTTATCCTCTAAGAGGAAATTTGAAACATTGCCATACATACACCCACGCATACACACAAACGTACTACCTCATTTTGTACCTGTCTTGTTACACCATAAATTCATTTTGTGTACTTTAGTTTTTAAGTAATAGTTTAATAAAAATTTTTTAGAAAAAAAATCCAAAATATTTATTTATTTCAAAAACAAAACTTTAAATTGCATTTTAAAAAATATGTCTAAAATGTGAATTGAAATTTGTTTATAAACTTACCTTTAGTTTGCTGCAGATCTTTCTGTTTTATTCAGGTTAATTTATTTTATTCATTTCCTAAACAATGATACATTTTTTAAATATTTTTTATCACAATACACACACCTTATTAGATTTTTAAAGGTCGCACGCATAATTAATGACGAAAATTAATTTACATATTTTTCTTTAATCATTTTTAAACAAATTTAAACATGTTTGATCTCTCTTCTTTTAACACTCTTTTCAAAACATGTGCATTTATTACAAAAACACTTCATGCAAAACAACAAACAAATGAAAAAAACCCGTTAGAAAAACGTTGCTGAAGAAACTTCTCTGTCGACTGCAGCATTTTGATAGTATTTACATATTTTAATAACTTTTGATTAATATTAAATTATTTTCACCGGAACTTCTAATACAACAATTTACATATTCATGTATGTATTATTTTTTATAAAATTTACAAAACATTTGTACTTTTATTTATATAAAACTTTTGCAAATTGCCAACACGACTGCGTACCGTATGAAATTACAAATAGAACTGTGTGACAAGAAATTTGTAAAATTGTGCAATAACTGTAAACATTTAATTTTGCTCTCTGCAATTAGACAATTATAGAGTTGCCGTATCGTAATTTTAATTCTCAAACGTTTTTTTTTAACTCTCTCTTTAATTGTAAGAAAGTAGATTATAGAATAGACTGTAGACTAGGCTATAGACTATACTATAGATATATAGGCTATAAACTAGACTATAGACTAGACTATAGACTACACTAGATTATAGACTAGGCTAGACTAGACTGGACTAGACTATAGACAAGACTATAGACTAGACTATAGAGTAGACTATAGACTAGACTATAGAGTAGAATATAGAGTAGACTATAGAGTAGACTATAGACTAGACTAGACTAGACTGGACTAGACTATAGACAAGACTATAGACTAGACTATAGAGTAAGACTAGACTAGACTAGACTATAGACTATAGACTAGACTATAGACTAGACTATAGACTAGACTATAGACTAGACTATAGACTAGACTATAGACTAGACTATAGACTAGACTATAGACTAGACTATAGACTAGACTATAGACTAGACTATAGACTAGACTATAGACTAGACTAGACTATAGACTAGACTATAGACTAGACTATAGACTAGACTATAGACTAGACTATAGACTAGACTATAGACTAGTATAGACTAGACTATAGACTAGACTATAGACTAGACTATAGACTAGACTATAGACTAGACTATAGACTAGACTATAGACTAGACTATAGACTAGACTATGAGACTATAGACTAGACTATAGACTAGACTATAGACTAGACTATAGACTATAGACAAGACTACAGACTAGGCTATAGACTAAACCATATACTAGACTATAGATTAGACTATAGAGTAGACTATAGAGTAGACTATAGACTAGACTATAGACTAGACTATAGACTAGACTATAGACTAGACTATAGACTAGAACTATAGACTATACTATAGACTAGACTATAGACTAGACTATAGACTAGACTATAGACTAGACTATAGACTAGACTATAGACTAGACTATAGACTAGACTATAGACTAGACTATAGACTATAGACAAGACTATAGACTAACCATATACTAGACTATAGATTAGACTATAGATTAGACTATAGAGTAGACTATGACTAGACTATAGACTAGACTATAGACTAGACTATAGACTAGACTATAGACTAGACTATAGACTAGACTATAGACTAGACTATAGACTAGACTATAGACTAGACTATAGACTAGACTATAGACTAGACTATAGACTAGACTATAGACTAGACTATAGACTAGACTATAGACTAGACTATAGACTAGACTATAGACTAGACTATAGACTAGACTATAGACTAGACTATAGACTAGACTATAGACTAGACTATAGACTAGACTATAGACTAGACTATAGACTAGACTATAGACTAGACTATAGACTAGACTATAGACTAGACTAGACTAGACTATAGACTAGACTATAGACTAGACTATAGACTAGACTATAGACTAGACTATAGACTAGACTATAGACTAGACTATAGACTAGACTATAGACTAGACTATAGACTAGACTATAGACTAGACTATAGACTAGACTATAGACTAGACTATAGACTAGACTATAGACTAGACTATAGACTAGACTATAGACTAGACTATAGACTAGACTATAGACTAGACTATAGACTAGACTATAGACTAGACTATAGACTAGAGCTATAGACTAGACTATAGACTAACTAGGACTAACTATGACTAGACTATAGACTAGACTATAGACTAGACGATAGACTAGACTATAGACTAGACTATGACTAGACTATAGACTAGCTATAGACTAGACTTAGACTAGACTATAGACTAGACTATGACTAACTATAGAGACTAGACTATAGACTAGACTATAGACTAGACATAGACTATAGACTTAGACATAGACTAGACTATAGACTAAACTATAGACTAATAGACTAGACTATAGACTATAGACTATGACTAACTCTGACTATAGCTAGACTATAGACTACTATAGACTAGACTATAGACTATACTATAGACTAGACTAAAGACTAGACTATAGAGACTAGACTATAGACTAGACTATATACAGACCTATAGACTAGACTAAACTAGACTATAGAACTATACTATAGACAGACATAGATAGACTATAGACTAGACTATAGACTAGACTATAGACTAGACTATAGACTAGACTATAGACTAGACTATAGACTAGACTATAGACTAGACTATAGACTAGACTATAGACTAGACTATAGACTAGACTATAGACTAGACTATAGACTAGACTATAGACTAGACTATAGACTAGACTATAGACTAGACTATAGACTAGACTATAGACTAGACTATAGACTAGACTATAGACTAGACTATAGACTAGACTATAGACTAGACTATAGACTAGACTATAGACTAGACTATAGACTAGACTATAGACTAGACTATAGACTAGACTATAGACTAGACTATAGACTAGACTATAGACTAGACTATAGACTAGACTATAGACTATAGACTAGACTATAGACTAGACTATAGACTAGACTATAGACTAGAACTAGACTAGACTATAGACTAGACTATAGACTAGACTATAGACTATAGACTACTATAGACTAGACTATAGACTAGACTATAGACTAGACTATAGACTAGACTATAGACTATAGACTAGACTATAGACTAGACTATAGACTAGACTATAGACTAGACTATAGACTAGACTATAGACTAGACTATAGACTAGACTATAGACTAGACTATAGACTAGACTATAGACTAGACTATAGACTAGACTATAGACTAGACTATAGACTAGACTATAGACTAGACTATAGACTAGACTATAGACTAGACTATAGACTAGACTATAGACTAGACTATAGACTAGACTATAGACTAGACTATAGACTAGACTTTAGATTCGATCCGCATTTAAAAACTGATAAATGATTTAATTTTATCATAATACACGTTACTAAATTTAAAAAATTATAAAATTGACTTACCAAAGTAGTTATGGGCTTCTTTTCTGCATTAACCTTTAACAGCAGTTATGAAACCAATTACATACGTACTTCAGAAATCATTCCAGGAGCATGACAATTTAACAATTTTTTGTTTACGTTTTTCTATTTTACATAAACACACATACGCACCAATTTTTTCATCAAACGCCGACGAATTGCAATACTAAACAACAATAACAAATGCAAAAACAATCTTGCATTCTATTTGTAATTGACATTTTTATATTTATCACTTAATATTTTGTTATTAATTTTAAATTTCCTTTATCACGAATAGCTTGCACGTTTGGAATTTACTAAAAAACTGGCAAGTATAAAGCCAATTATAAAGCAGTGTAAGTACATTTACTCCGAATAAAAATGGGAATACCGGCAAATTGTAATATGAACGTCACAACAACAAATACGAAAAAAAAAATTGCATTATTATTTCTAAATAAACTTCTTATTATGTATTATCTTTTTAGTATGATTTAAAAACAAACACCATTTTCTAAGCCGGCTAGTTACAATACTCCACAACAACAACTAAAAGCCACAGAAAAGAGCACAGAACTACAGCAATGACAAGTGAAAAAACCATTCATGGTATTTTTTATAGAAATACTTTTATTTAAACTATTTGCACTTAATTTTTAGCACGAAATAAACAATTAATGTTTTATTAATATTATTTACTTATTAAAACGAATTTATTTTCAATTTTCTTATAAGATTTAATTAATTATTCATTAACTTTGTCACGAGAAGACCGTACGTTTAGAATTTACTAAAGAAACTGACAAGTAAAAAGAAATTGTAAAAGATTTTTAACACACGTACACACACACTACTAAATACCGGCAAATTGCAGTATTCCTCAACAACAACAATAAACCGCGAAAAAAACACACACACAAAACAACAATAATGACAAGAGCAAAACATTGTATTTTTATAGAAATACATTTTTTAACTATTTGTACTTTGATTTTTTGCACTATTTAAACTATTATTAGTTTAAGATTTTAATTATTACTACTTTTATTATAAAACTTATTTTATTTTAGTTTTCTTATTATATTTATTTAATATGTAAAATTAATTTGCCAATTGTCAACCGCACGTTTAGAATTTGCGAAAAGAACTGACAAG